GGGGGGGGTGGGAGAGAGGGAGAGAGTCGTAGAATTTATTAAATTGATTACGTTTTTCACGAAATTTTATTAGAAAAATATTTTTGTAGACTACTTGACAAATGGCAACGTTGTGGATTCACCCTATAAAAGCGGACAAACAAATAGTAACAAGGGAACCTTGATTGTACATAGTCAGCAAAGGGTAAGCTTATGAAGCAATTAAAAGCATTTCTTATTGCACGAAAATTGATGCAACATTCACGTAAAATAAAATTACAAATAACTAAAAAATAAAAAAATTAGAGATACATTTTGTATAATAAAAATTAATAGAAGTTTAAAATTACTAATTATTTAGAAATTCCATAGAATAATTTGTATTTATGCGTGAGTGCGCACACAAATTTTTTGATTCTTAAAAAATGATTTGACAATAACTAACAAAAAATATTTAATGAATGTAGTGTTCATTCCTGACAAAGATAATCTTTGTGATTATTGTGATTTTCCACTAAAGCACGATTTTTATTTGATTTCTCTTGTAGCAACCAGAGCGACAAATTGTTAAGGTAAGAATAACGTAGTATTAATTATTGACATTTCGTGTGATCGAAATAATCGTTTTTCGCTTATAACATAAAAAAAGAAATAAATCTTGGGGATAATTTTTTCAACGTGCAACTTAAGACAGACATCTAGTATGCTGAAGCAAAGATTGAAGAACGAATTCGAAGTATTCGTCATTCAAAGTGTCGTATTTAGAGTTGCATTCTAATTTATTTTAACATCAAGTATCCCTTTTCTGTTTCATGAAAGTATTAACCGTGGTTGAGTGCTGTGTATTTACTAATGTGTAATAGGTCGCTCTGACGGAGACTGGAAACTGGCAAGAGATATCCCCGGACGTAAGTAAATTTGTAAAATTGTTCTCGTCTTGATAAACGAAATTTTACAAGAAATTGATTTCGCGCCGCACTTTATATAATTTTTTAACGCGATTTCTTTACAGTATGGAACAAAAGATGTCAATGCTATCTCGGGACCAGAAAGCACGCCCAATTCCTCTAATTCGGAAGGTAAGACTTTTGTAGCGATTAAAATTTTAATTCATGAAAATTATATTAAAATTATAATTTGATATGAAAGCAATTTCATCTTTGCTTATAATATACATATATTTTATATATATATATATATATATATATATATTTATCATGTATTCTTGTATATGTAATTTTTAATAATAAATGTAATTTAATATAAACAACATTTGTACAGAGAGAGGAAGAACACGAAGAAAACGACGTGATTTCTTTGGTACTATAAAGAAGCGACTGAGTCGATCTAAAACGAGAAGTAAATCAGTGGGTCCTGAAGAAATCAATCACGAAGACGCTCATTCAAGATCTATATCCGCTGATAGAGCTCACGATCCTGGGTCTGGTAAGATTTTAAGATTTTATAAATCTCTTTAGTATTCTTTTTATTAGTAAATTAATTGTGTGATGCCTGTAACAACATAGAATTTTTGTCGTTTACCATTTTTAATGATTGCGAGTTTCATATTTATTGGTAGGTACTTTTAAAAAGAAATTGTTCGAACGCGATTGACATAAATCTGTATAAAAGAGATCTAATGATAAGATTGCCAATAGTTGTCATCTTATTTAGTTTTTATTCATTTTTTTATTGCATTTTGTATTGATATATTCCCAATTGTGCACGCTCTAACTTGTTCACGTGTGCGTAACTTCTGCGATATTCGGTTTTGGTAATTAAGTATCTTGCAAATTAACAAGAAAGAATGCAGTGCGAAGATTTTGCTATTTAACAGACAAAATCAATAATGAGCGTTAATAAATTTGAAAATTGCCTTATTCCTAGGTCTCTCAATTTACGAATTTATAATAAAATTAATAATAAATTTGGAAAAATCCAATTATTTATTTTCTTGACAAAGTGATCATTGCAATTTATCACATTCATTATAGATGTTTCACGCTTACGATTTAAAATACATGTTTTTATTCTATCAGTGCCTAATTAGAATCGAGTGCATTTTTTATTAGTACTAGTACATAACAGGCGCGCGCTCCGCGCGCGCTGCGTATTGAATCCCATATATCTTCCAATAACATTTATACCAATTTACATTTTAATTAAACAAATGTTAACAATTTTTAATAAGAAATAAATTTTCAAAAAAAATGACGCTTTGCGCTCGATGCGTATTAAACTCCGATCATCGTCCAATAGCATTTATACCAAATTACATTTTAATTAAACAAATTTCAACAATTTTCAATAAAATGACGTTTTAATCGGCCATTTTAAATCGGCCATTTTTAAATAAAATCACGATTTCTTAAAAAATAGCCACATAATTTATCTTTAACATGAGCCCAGAAAGAAGTCTATATCTTTATTTTTCTGGATTTTTAAACATTGGGGAAAAGAGGCTTCAACGCAGGTAACACGGCAATTTTAAGATAGGACTAGCACTACAAACGCGCGCTTTGCGCGCACTATTTAATACTTCTTACTATAATTTACAATTAAATAATTTACGTCAATACACACAACTGTCAAAATGCAATGTCACAGCCGCTTACGAGAAGTAAGCGCAGCAAG